CCTGGAGTCATAAATAAAATATATATTATCACTCTATACACCCGGGAAAGGATAAGGGCTCGGACAAGTGTGGTTGTTAACACGCTTGTTACGTGTATAACAGACCACAAAACAGTTGACACTCATTGGGCAATAGTTGACGCTCAAAGAGGTCAGACTGAAACACCTAAGGACAAACTGACGAAGACTGGTCACCGAAAAAACTCTTCAATCTCTTAAGAAGGCTGAAGAACTGTGATTCCTCCGCGGTTTTGAAACCCATACTGTTTTACTTGAACACATTTAACCCTCAGCATCAAATCGAAAAAGGACATTGGTCAGGAATGGCAGACAAAATGCAGGCCATCGCATCATCCGTGTTACTTCGGGTGAGATACCTCCAGTTTTTGCCTTACAACGCAGGCCTAAGCATTCATTTTAAACCAGAAAATGAAGAAGAAATGGTCAAATAGGTCAAGTTCTTTGAGCAGCAACTAATCTTATGACCAAGAAACTCGGTCGCCTAGAGGTAGAAGAAAAGGGTGGACCAAAAACCGTAAAGCGCAAGACATCATATATAAAAAAACACCTCACAAGATGGAAAATGAAAGATACAAAGGCACTGTGTTGGTGGTGGCACAGTGGTTCATTCGCTTTCACCAGCTTGCTTTTGACCCTGTAGGTTGAGCTCTGCCAGCGCCATAGAACTATGATGGTAGGCAACTTTGATATCACATGGTGCAACACCACGCCTAAACTAGTGGGGCCTTATACGGTTCGGCTTTCCAAGTCCCGAGGCTTAGGTTCTTGGGTACCATCAACGAGGGCAGGTCTTAATTATTATCGGATGCATTCTATCTGCTGTTTACCACACGAAAGTTTGTGATAAAAATGGTGGCATTACACTTGATATATTACTGCAATCCAATTCACCGTTTATTACAATCCGTTTAACAGAGGTCTTGTTAATTACTTAGTTACCTCTATTCTGAGGTGTATCCTCACAGCGGTGACAAAACTGTGTATGAGAAAAACCGAACCCTTGTTTGAGCAATGCATCAGCTAAAATGCTCAGCGTGATATTTCATGATTCCATCTGCCTTCACAACTTTCACCGTATTAGGGGCTGTTTAGATCAAGTATTTAACTTCGTCCCCGACCACATAACAAGTTACAGGAGCCAACAATGTCTCCTTTTATTAACATCCACACTGCCTTTGATGTTGTACATAAAACCTGGTTGCGGAACATAAATAAACCAAATAACATGTTTGAGAAACCTCTAGGAATCAAAGAGACTCACGGCTTGGAAGCCTGATCTCGGGTTCGGGGTAAATATGAGGATTTGTGCTCTCAATTGAAAATTCGACAGACTATCCGCTGTCTTCGTTCCTGTTTAGTTATCCCATCGACTAGACCGTAAAGTATGATCTCGTGTGCTACCGCAAACTGCAAATAGTATTGAATAACTAGACTGTGGTCTTCGAGTTTGCTCTCGATAACAACGTCGTCGGAAACACTCTGTGCGACCTACATAAGACTCCAGACATACTAGCACAATTTACTAAAAAAATTACCAAGCCACCATACGTCCAATTTTTATAACTCCACAGGGCATTGTCTGGACGAGGAGAATTGTTTAATACAAACAACGGTAAGGGGATCGATAAATTGGCGTATGTATAATAAAACATCTCATTTGAAACAGGTTTTCATAATTTCCACAAACACGCAGGATAACAAATGGCACGGTTCAATATCATATGCCCAGTTTCTGAAGTTACAAAATTAGATCTCTTAGTTTACTCGCAAAGTCCGTGGGACTGCAGCAACCGTTTCTTCATGCATGCAAACTACTCACAAATTTGAGTAGTACCTCACACCATCTCGGTCATGGTGACCCCAACACGACACACCATCACAATACACGGCGCGGTAGTGAAATTAATTAAGGTGTTTCAATCACTCAACCCTATTAATCCCTCCAACGGCCAGGTCAAAAGCACACTTTAATTGCCAGTCGACATACCTTGGAGGAATTTCCTAGAATTTCCCAAACACTATGGGCATGCAGTGAAACCACTCTTCTTACCGATATGAAAGTCTACCGAGTGGCCATCCATTCTATTCAGAACCATGGCTACGAGGCGTGACAAATACGATGCTATGATATCAAAATAATGATTTTTCGATCACTGGTGACAGTGCTACATCCGGAAGGCGCATTGACACCACCGATTGTCGAAAAAATGAATTATGGGTCGCTTCTGTTGTTGCTGCTGTTGCTGTTCTAAGTAAGGCTGCCTACACTGCAGCAGCTTTAATATCTCCAGTTTTCATGTCATGATTTGAGATATAGCGCCGTCGGAGATTCAAAGGAAGCACCCTTCCTGACTTGTGCGTTGCAATTTGAGACTAGTATATATTTTTCGAAACTGAAACCAGAAGAACACGTTTTCAGTCCAAACAACCAGGCAAGCGGTAAGTGGTCGGTAGACTGGGAGTTCTTAGTGGCGTTTGATGAGAAATATCTCCGTCAGAGAAAAACTCCACCCTTCAAGCACTGCTAAAGGCAACAGGTGGATCGGGGCATAAAGTAAATTGCAAATTTAGGGGAAGGAAGAGGGTGGAGTTGAATTACTGGTCCATATATGCCTTATTGCGATGATATTTTTCGACTTAGCAGAGCCATCCGTGTGCTTGCAAGGACCCTTTAGATCCAAACAGTAAAGTAAAACGTAGGAGGGTGTGATATAAAACAAAGGTTGTTTGTCCACTTTCACTTGTTCATCATGATCCGTGACCGTTGGAAATGCGCTCAAAATGAACTGCACAAGCGCATCGTTCTGGTTTTCGAACAGGGATAGGATTGGCGCGTGGGTTAAAAGACACAATGGTATTAGTTATAAGACCGTTGAGAACAAATATTGTGAGGTAAAGCTACTGAGGACGCCATTCTACGCGAAAATTCTCATTACTGTTGAACACACGTGGAGCTTTATTAGGAGCCAAATCAAGAGGGATTTGAGTGATATTTATTCCAGTCTTCTTCAAAGAGATCCTGAACATGTACTCAGTCAAACAGAATGGTGAACATAGTTCTGCAAAATCAACATGTTGATCTACGATGCTCATTACCCTAGGTTCGTGTTACATTAGAAGACATTTTACGTGGCCACTCTTAAACTAGTTAAAAGGAGCTTCTCGGCTGACCATAAGCACTCAATGACACCATTTTCGGATCCTTTCATTTACCCTACTTTATTATTTACCTACCTACTTATTTACTTAATAACTACTAACTAACTTACTTACTTGCTTACTTACTTACTCACTTACTTAGTCACTTACCTACTTACTCATTTACAAGATAAGAATGCAAGTAGGTGTTTGTTTTTGCGGATCCAAGCACAGCGTTTCTTTCTCAAATCAAAGTTACAGTTTAGGAAATCAAAGTTTCTCAAATCAATCTCAAAATGTAGACTCGTATACTACTTGATGGGTTAGATCAAAAAGCAAGTTCTTCGTGAACACCTTTTGCGACATACAAAAGCTACTTTTGTTTGTCTATTTTCCCACGGCATTCCGATTGGACGACCATTTGCGATAGACCCGGTCGAATAGGTAGCGTATGACGACGGAAGCATCCATCATTTTCTGAAGTTCCTTTCAGAATGCAGTTGGTGGGTTCACATTATGCTGGAAAAGAATCCCTTCAATTTGAAAAGTATGCAAAAGGATGTTCATAAACAACCGGACAGGTTAAGTAATTCGCACTAGATAGACTTCATGTGGGTTATTGATCCGTTTGTCGTCCTCGGATCTTCAATGTGTTATCCATCCTTTCAGGTATCAAGTCTACCAAATGAAAGATAAAACTCTGTGCTTGTGACCTTTCATTTTGAATCCGATCAGGCTTTCCAAGGCAAAACTGCATAGTAGTTGGTTTCTGCTTTGACTATTGTTTGTTGTTGAGATTGAGGCCTTTGGGGAATGACTGAATAAATGTAATCTTGAAATTACCCGTAAACTCAGAGTTAATGTATATTTGTGACTCATTAAGATCGAATGATCAAGCAAAACCCGTGCGAGACATGATATGATGCATTATCCTTTAAACCAGCCAAGATGTCCATTCTAAGAAAGATCGAAGGTATAACTCACCTTATAGCTCCTCATCATTAGAGATCCCTTTGCTAGTGGTATATAGACATGGTTGCCCTTGCTCTATTTCATTCCATAACGTCAACGCAGTTGCATGCCTGACTTGTATACTGCACCAATTAGTTGGTTTCTCTTTATCGATTGCCTATCTGTCTTGATTGCTTGTATAGAGAGGATATCAAATTTGTGTTCATGCAAAAAAACCTAAAGAGTCGTTATCGCAACAAGTGTCCTGAGTTGCCACCATCATTAGTTTGGCACTTTGTGCGAGTAAATGTATGTATAGGTGTATATCAATTCATGACAATACCATTTTGAGTGCTTTTAATGTTTTTTAGCATGCCTCACTCAACAAAACGCAGAATTTGTCTCATTTTACTTTACTTGTTTTGAGTTACCTCTACCAACAATACTATTGCTACGTGACTGCAGTACAAGGTGATTTTGAGGAATCTACAACATTAAATTTTCGCATTTCGTGGGGATAAAAAGGATCAAGTGTATTTCCGAATGTTTGCACAATAACGCCATTTGCTTGGAACATTTCACATGCATCACCAGCTTTGAATCAGGTCACGGACAGGACAAATTTGTCTGACCAATAGAATTGATTTCATTATACTTTTCACATTAGACCAATCCGATTCCGCGCTCAAATAGTGACTGACTTGACCAATCCACGATTTAACGATGCACAGCTGTGTTGATAACTGTACCATTTAAACATCATCCTTTTACGCAATTCTCATTCTTATCTGTCTGGCTCTGTGCTAAGACTTAACTCCAGTGCTTTTTGTGCAACCCATATTGTGCTATAAAAACTGGAGCATCAAATCCAGTTTGTTTAAGGAATACTAATGATGGCAATCAATTCCACGTCACGTTGTAATACCATCGAACCTCGTCCATTACCCGTCAGCTCTCACGACGCCAGTCAGAATTCGGTGAATGTGCCACACTTGCAACTTCTGAAGCATCCCATTTTCAGTGAGAATTGTACACAAGTGGAACGAAATACAAGTCAATCTGAAGTGGCCGAACATGAGCCGGTGGGAGGTGTGTCATTAGATAAACCAACCCAATGGATTATTCGTGCTTGCCAAGGGCTTTGGGAACAAATAAAGCTGGAAGAAAAGCAACCGGGAGAACGGATTGACTACGGTCAACAATCGGGTTCCGGCCTAATTGATGGACTTATTCATGCCTGTGGAAAGTCGGATCGCCTACTCGCAGTCGGTATGTGCCAAATTTTGCTCGATGAGTCGGCGATCGGGTTAGTGCCTACGTCAAAAGTAAATAAAGAGGAACAAGGAGAATTTCAAGATCGAGATGATGTGTTCTATCAGTGCACATGTCCCCCGGAACAAGTAGAACGTGATCTCACTGATGGTGCTACCGTAGCCGAGGATGTCGCAGCCACAGATAATTGCTGTTTGGCAAGTTCGTCTGCTCCGGACGAGAAATTAAACACTAGTACCTCGCCCGCTCCGGTGAAAGTGATTGCGTTCAGGACAGATAGTTTGGAATTGGACGATACTCCACAATTGGAAGACAGGTTTCAAATACTAATGGATCGACTATATGGTCTGGCCAGTGATGTGGTCCTTCGACGAATTCTGCTCAAAAAGCCCTCACTTCGAAACAGTAAAGAATTGGACTTTGTATTTCATGAGTTACATCTGGTCCCGGCCTTGAGTGGATTTTCGCGCAATGTGCGACATGAACTGAGTCGATGCCTGCTATATGAGATCCATCCCAAGGCTGGCACTACTGTGTTCAACCAAGGTGACCCAGGCACGTCTTGGTACATCATACACCGTGGTAGTGTTTGGGTTTATGTAAAAGAACAAGGACGAGTATGCCGATTATCGGAAGGGGATGATTTCGGCAAATTAGCCCTCGTGACGGGGGCACCAAGAGCTGCTAGTATAGTACTAGCCGAGGATAACTGTCATTTTCTGAAAGTGGAGAAGGACGATTTTGATCGGATTTTGCGTGATGTAGAAGCAAACATTATTCGACTAAAAGAGAAGGATTCGGACGTCCTCATTTTGGAGAGACTGCTAGATAGTGATGGAACCAAATCGAACGACACTTCTCCATCGCACAAAATAGAAGTGGGAACAATGGGAAAAAAGATGTCCACCACTGGTCGATTGATTAATCACTCAATAAAGGCTGGTACAGTGGAAAAAGTTGTACAACATCTGCTGGATTTGCGGCTAGGTGGAATGGAACATCAGATCGATACACTATTGGACTCTTCGAAAACGCCATTACATTTGTGTCCACAACTGCTGACCAATGTGGATCAGACTTTTGAAGATTTTATTTTAACTTATACCTTGTTTACGACCGATGAAACACTGTTTGATTTATTGATGACCTATGCGCAACAGACAATAATAATTGGGAATTTCACGGAGTTTAAATCACCGATGGATGCTTCACGAGTGAATCGTGTTCTCGTGTTTCTTTATTGTTGGTGCCAATGTGTTGGTCTATCACTGTTCACCAAGGCTGATCGACTACGGGAATTCCTACAAGAGTTGCAGGTTTTCATAGACGATCATTTTCCCGAAAGCATTCAATCACAAATAATATGCAGATTGATGGAAGAGTGTGAAGTCCTTTTTCAACCACTCGGTTCATCCACAGAATACCAGTTCTCACACAAACCGGAAACAAACAACACAGATAGCA